CACACACACACACACACACACGTCACTACACACACGCTACCTGCTGCCCGCGCTGCAGCGCCTCGCGCTCCCGCACGACGCCGCGCGCCTGCGCGGCGCCGCCGCCACCGGTGCGTGACGTCACCACACACACACACACACACACACACACACACACACACACACACACACACACACACACACACACACACACATACACACACCCACACACACACATACACACACCCACACACACACACACACACACACACACGTCACTACACACACGCTACCTGCTGCCCGCGCTGCAGCGCCTCGCGCTCCCGCACGACGCCGCGCGCCTGCGCGCCGCCGCCGCCACCGGTGCGTGACGTCACCACACACACACACACACACACACACACACACACACACACACACACACGTCACTACACACACGCTACCTGCTGCCCGCGCTGCAGCGCCTCGCGCTCCCGCACGACGCCGCGCGCCTGCGCGCCGCCGCCGCCACCGGTGCGTGACGTCACCACACACACACACACACACACACACACACACACACGTCACTACACACACGCTACCTGCTGCCCGCGCTGCAGCGCCTCGCGCTCCCGCACGACGCCGCGCGCCTGCGCGCCGCCGCCGCCACCGGTGCGTGACGTCACCACACACACACACACACACACACACACACACACACACACACACACACACACACACACACACACACACACACACACACACATACACACACCCACACACACACACACACACACACACACGTCACTACACACACGCTACCTGCTGCCCGCGCTGCAGCGCCTCGCGCTCCCGCACGACGCCGCGCGCCTGCGCGCCGCCGCCGCCACCGGTGCGTGACGTCACCACACACACACACACACACACACACACACACACACACACACACACACACGTCACTACACACACGCTACCTGCTGCCCGCGCTGCAGCGCCTCGCGCTCCCGCACGACGCCGCGCGCCTGCGCGCCGCCGCCGCCACCGGTGCGTGACGTCACCACACACACACACACACACACACACACACACACACGTCACTACACACACGCTACCTGCTGCCCGCGCTGCAGCGCCTCGCGCTCCCGCACGACGCCGCGCGCCTGCGCGCCGCCGCCGCCACCGGTGCGTGACGTCACCACACACACACACACACACACACACACACACACACACACACACACACACACACACGCTACCTGCTGCCCGCGCTGCAGCGCCTCGCGCTCCCGCACGACGCCGCGCGCCTGCGCGCCGCCGCCGCCACCGGTGCGTGACGTCACCACACACACACACACACACACACACACACACACACACACACACACACACACACACACACACACACACACACACACACACACACACACACACACACACACACACACACACACACACACACACACACACACACACACACACACACACACACACACACACACACACACACACACACACACACACACACACACACACACACACACACACACACACACACACACACACACACACACACACACACACACACACACACACACACACACACACACACACACACACACACACACACACACACACACACACACACACACACACACACACACACACACACACACACACACACACACACACACACACACACACACACACACACACACACACACACACACACACACACACACACACACACACACACACACACACACACACACACACACACACACACACACACACACACACACACACACACACACACACACACACACACACACACACACACACACACACACACACACACACACACACACACACACACACACACACACACACACACACACACACACACACACACACACACACACACACACACACACACACACACACACACACACACACACACACACACACACACACACACACACACACACACACACACACACACACACACACACACACACACACACACACACACACACACACACACACACACACACACACACACACACACACACACACACACACACACACACACACACACACACACACACACACACACACACACACACACACACACACACACACACACACACACACACACACACACACACACACACACACACACACACACACACACACACACACACACACACACACACACACACACACACACACACACACACACACACACACACACACACACACACACACACACACACACACACACACACACACACACACACACACACACACACACACACACACACACACACACACACACACACACACACACACACACACACACACACACACACACACACACACACACACACACACACACACACACACACACACACACACACACACACACACACACACACACACACACACACACACACACACACACACACACACACACACACACACACACACACACACACACACACACACACACACACACACACACACACACACACACACACACACACACACACACACACACACACACACACACACACACACACACACACACACACACACACACACACACACACACACACACACACACACACACACACACACACACACACACACACACACACACACACACACACACACACACACACACACACACACACACACACACACACACACACACACACACACACACACACACACACACACACACACACACACACACACACACACACACACACACACACACACACACACACACACACACACACACACACACACACACACACACACACACACACACACACACACACACACACACACACACACACACACACACACACACACACACACACACACACACACACACACACACACACACACACACACACACACACACACACACACACACACACACACACACACACACACACACACACACACACACACACACACACACACACACACACACACACACACACACACACACACACACACACACACACACACACACACACACACACACACACACACACACACACACACACACACACACACACACACACACACACACACACACACACACACACACACACACACACACACACACACACACACACACACACACACACACACACACACACACACACACACACACACACACACACACACACACACACACACACACACACACACACACACACACACACACACACACACACACACACACACACACACACACACACACACACACACACACACACACACACACACACACACACACACACACACACACACACACACACACACACACACACACACACACACACACACACACACACACACACACACACACACACACACACACACACACACACACACACACACACACACACACACACACACACACACACACAATGAGACTGATTTGTCATGCGCTTGGGCTAACCCCCGGCGCTCGCGGGTGCCCGGGCTTGCCAGTGTGAAATCTGCTACCGGAGACTCCACAGGGGCGGGCGACCAGGCCCCTGTGCCAGTAAATGTTCACTAATAAAAAACTAGATACACAATCCCATGCATAAGTTCTCTAAAATCTGTCGCCAATTGTTTTGTCGTAATTCTAGTTGAAACAAATGTACATTAGCGTAAATTCTTAAAACTTGTATTCACAAAGTTACATTCAAATTAAAAGCGCACCCAAATGTTCGCGTGGGCGCTCTTTCGGTAAGGACATTTTTTGTTACTGATTGTGTATCTAGTTTTTTTATTAGTGATCGATGTTCAGCAAGCATGCCACCCGAGCTTGTTTATAACAAGACCCAGATCTTCATCTGTAGGAAATATCCCCACGCCCGTTACTACAGAAACAGAACTCGAAAAAATGGAGATCCACAGTACAGAGGATGTTGCGCCTGTTCCTCCTTGACGTATGACCCCTAGTAATACATTACGAAAAGAACAAGGGAGCAATCATACCACATCAAATCAGAGGCCAAGAGCTCCTGAACAAAGGCAGAAAAAATATCTATCCCCTAGAGGAAATAGAGCATCATCAAAGATGACCAAAAGAACCTTGCTGAGAGAACAGATGTTGAGTGATAGACAGACAAGACAACACTACCCAGATATCACCACCAGCATTCGAGACATCAAATACTTTTAATCTTCTAATAGTTTTGATTGTCAAGATCAAAATGCTACTCCAGACAAAATAACAAAGAAACCCTCTAAACCTCCACCCATTACACTATATGGAATAGATGACCTCCAAATATTAACGAGTTTTATTGAGCAAGTTATGGAAAAGAGTATACATATAAAGTGGTACCTAAAAATAAATTAATAATCTCTTCTCAGTCTGTCGAAAAATACAAAACTTTCATAGAACATGTCCGAAGCAAAGGATTAATAGGCTATACATTTACCCAAAAAGATGAAAAACGTATGAGAATTGTGATCAAGCATCTATACTAGCACACCCAAAGAGGCAATTGTGAAAGCCATAGAGTACCATAAATCATCTAAAAAACAAAAAAGCACCTGGATTCGACCTTATCACTGGCGTGATACTCAAACGACATCCTAAAAAACCAATAGTTTTTCTGACAATGTAAATGCTATATTTAGAACTCACTATTTTCCTCAGATGTGGAAAATATCACAGATATGTATGATGGCCAAACCGGGGTAACCTCCAACTGATCCTACTTCGTATACACCCATTAGTCTTCTCCCTACTTTATCTATAGTGTTCGAAAAGATATTTCTGCAAAGACTAAAACCAATATTAGGTGAAAACAAAATAATTCCCGACCACCAATTTGGGTTCAGAGAGAATAATTCTACAGTAGAACAAGTGCATAGAGTGATACACAAAATCAGATAGACCTTAGGAAAAAAAGAATATTGCTCAGCGGTGTTCTTAAACATTCAGCAGGCATTTGACAGAGTGTGGCACAAAGGGACTACTGTTCAAACTAAAAAATATTTTACCTAACTCGTTCTTCATGATCATGAAATCATACCTCCACCAAAGAAAGTTTCAAGTGAAATACGAAGACGAGTACTCTAACCTGTACGACATCACTGCTTCAGTCCCGCAAGGATCAGTGCTTGGACCAGTACTGTATGCCATATATACATCAGATCTGCAGAACACTGAAGATGTAACGACAGCAACCTATGCAGATGACACTGCATGCCTTGCAAGTGATAAGGACCCGGACGTTGCTCAACAAAAGCTCCAAACACAAATTAAGAGAAAATAGAGAAAATAAGAGAAAATAGAGAATAACGCCCAGTGTAAGCAAATTTGTGCAGGCAACCTTTACTTTAAAAAAAAGAGAATAAGGAAAACAATTACCAACAAGTAAGTGTGTAAAATATTTGAGTCTACATATAGACCGAACATTAACATGGGCCAACCACATCAAGGCAAAGAAAAACGAGGCAACTATATTATTTAAGACCTTCTCTTGGCTATTGGAAAGAAAATCACAGCTATCTCCTAACAACAAACTACTGGTATATAAAGCCATCATAAAACCAGTATGGACTAATGGTATAGAACTATGGGGTTCTGCCAGTAACTCCAACCTAGAAATCCTACAGAGGTTCCAAAATATAGCCTTACGATCAATATCAGACGCATGGTGGTTCGTAAAGAACTCTGAAATCTATGAATACATAAAGATGCCCACAGTAAAGGAAGAAGTCAACAACCATTGTACGCGATATAAGAAGCGAATACTAGGACATGCCAAGAAACTAGCTAACCTCCTAAATAACCAAACCACAACACGCCTAAAAACATGGCAAATACTGGATGTAGATCAGAGAGGCTGAGAATAACTCTTATCATGTTTTGAGTTGATGTCGGCTCAATGGAGCCAAAGTTCAGTGCGGATGGCACGCCACGCGTGACGTCGATTGTTTTGTGTGTGGCGTATGACACGCGAGTCGTGTCTTTTTTACAAATCGTTATAACTCGCTCAAATTGCGTTTTTGGAAGATTTATCCAGAACAAAATATTCATTATTTTACAAGTAGTTCATGCCTACAGCTTCGTTTCTGGATATTTTGACATTTTTAGGGGTTGACAACCTTTTTTTAACTTGTATATGGTACTCTTTTTAGTGTGGGTTTTAAATCATGTTGTGGAAACATAGTCTAATAAGTAACAAATAATAGCACTCATTGCGATCGCTCACAAACTCAAGTTGTAAACAAATTTTTGGAAAACAATTACCCTGTTATAATAAAACAATGCGTTTGTATTATTGTTTAATTTTGCTTAAAATGGTTGTTCTGCCGTCTTATTACTATCATATGGCCGAATAGACCTACGAAGTACCATGTACTCTTGTGATATGGTATAAGGTTCATTTTTGCTTGAAACACCTACGAAGTACAATGTGCTCTTGTAATATGGTATAAGGTTTATTTTTGCTTGAAACAGTTTGAAACCGTTCATGCATAAAAAAGTTCGCTAATAAATAGTCTTGTCAATCCGCCGCCGTATAGCGCCGGCGTTTTTTTCCTTTTGAAAACACTTGTTTTGCTATTCTTACTAATTAGACGTTTTCAGATCGACTTTCCTTTTACATTTGTGTAACATTAAATAATATTTAACATTTGTAAATATCAATTAATCATAAACCTTTTTTTTTTAAATTAAGGTTCTTGATTGTTTGATATTTACAAATGTAAATATCAAACAATCAAGATTTTAGATTTTATTATTAGGTGAAAATTTAATTTAATAAAAACCAAGGTTTCCAGGGTGATTTAGCTGTACCTACTTACATAAATTATTTTTTATAACAACAAAAAATAGTACAAAAGGTTTGTAATCTCTTCATAAAAAAGTCACTTTCTCTCAATTTCAAAGAAAACGCGTAAAAAAACACGTAGTTACCCAATAAAAACAAGTATCCTTCCATTTGTAACTTATGTTTGATGTCAAATAAACTTAATTAGGAAGGACCACGCCTTCCCCAGTCGAGCCGACCCATTCGTGCTACAACTATACTACTAATATAGCTGCAGCATGACTCTACCATGTAGTAGTGTTTATTTTTTAAATATCTGGTGTAGCATTTCGAATAGCAAAATATGAGTCAATCAACAAAAACTTACCACTAAAATGAAACAATTGTGTGTTAGGGGTTGGTTTACTGGGTCACAGACAACGGAACACACTGGACAGACTTACTCTAAAATTTACATTGCACCATCGCATCACAACTAAGTCTATTTTCTCGTGACGCAGACACCAGCGTCTCTGTCGCTTCTCTAGCGCGGAACTGTAACACGCGCACACTATTTTGGCACTTATCACTTATAATTTGAGATACACATTGTGCTTCTATAGAATTTTATGTACAAGTCACTTTCGCAACAATCTTCATTAGGGATGTTTTTCTGTTCTTTGTCAACACAAATATTTCTTAATTTCGTAAGATTTGTTGTTACCATGTTCACTTTATATCTTAGTCTTCAGGGGTGACAACGGTTCTGCATTTAGATTCGTAACCACAGAGTACTTTTTATATAGGAAATAGAGGTCTCTCTCGACGCCTTCAAATGGGAATGACTGTGCTGCCGTCTGCATGCGTGAGATGGAACTATTTTCATTTCAGTATATATATATATATATATATACATAACTAGAAATAGGTACGACGCCTTATGTTTATTGCTATTTTATTTATTCATTTATGTAGATATTTTTCTTTATTCCGTGTATATTACAAAGAGTACATTTTCTTTACTCAGTATATATTCTATTATATTCAGTTCAAACACGGAATGAGGAAAAGTAGCTGTATAAATATAATAAAATAATGCAACGATAATTTTTGTGCAAGCACACACAACAGTGGAAAATTTACAATAATAAAACCACAATGTATTTAAATTGATCATTTATTTTGTCTCTTAAAACACTTATGAAAATATTTTTTCGCCTTTATTTGAAATACATCCTCATCATCATTGGAGTCTCTCCTCCCTTTTAATATTTTGTTAATATCTTTACAGTAATTATTTATGAAAAATCTGCAAGATAAATTGATAACAAATTCTATCACTTTGTCTTTGTGTCGACTACAATTTAAAAAATCAAATTCTATATGCAGAAGTATTATTGTTTTTATGAATTCTTTCATATTTTCATAATATAAATGACGTTTTAAAATTTCATTGGTAATATCTTGCATTGCAGATATGCAAGAGAGGAGAGATTCAGAAGGACTGACAAGCCAACGTTTGCCAGCATATTCTCGGCGTTTAATATACTCATTTTCTTGAGAGGCAACCATGTCTATAGTGCATTGCATGCAATTTTTAAATATGTTTTTCCTCGCACTGCGTACAAAATATCCGCTCACAAATTGTAGAGCGCCTAACACGCGAGGATCATTTTTTTTTCATCTAAGTCAGTTACTTGCACTGTGGGTATGCTCTCAACTTCACTGGTAACCGTGGCCTGGCATCAATGATGAGGGTGTATAAAACTTCACAATAATCTTTTTCACAATTTGCCCTAGGGGCATGGACACTTGACTTGACTTATTTATTAATAAGCTGGTGTAGGCACTTTCAAACCTTTCTGCTGTGGGGTTTGTATTGCGGCACCCATGGCTCCTAATAGCCCCGAAAAAGTTTTTTATGGGGTCTTGATTTAGGTGCCGCATCCAAACAGAGGTTACGCCATAATCGTTTTTTAATTTATTTAAAAGTATTTGAACACCATCTAGTGTCCATACCCAATTTTCCAAAGTAGGGACTTTTTCAGTTTTACCTGTTACAATGTTTGTAAATTTCATGTTTCTCAATTCAATTTTAGCTTTATTCCATACATTATTGTGACTACAATTTGGTCTTGCAGGTCCAAGTAATGGCTTTCCATGTTGTTTTCGTTTTGTATAGCTCCCGTTTAATGAATCAAATAGTTGATCAAAAAAAAAGGAGAATATCAGCTGTCTCTTTACATTCTTCAGGGAGAATTCCTTTGTCTGTGGAAAAAAATGTCTTAGCAACATATTTTAGAATTTATATATTATGATCCACCGCAGCTTCGCACGGGTGATTTCTGGATCTCGACAACAACGGCCTCTATCAGGTCCAATTGTGAATCCAAACCATCTATAACTCAAACATAAAAAATTTCATCAGAATTGGTTGAGTCGCTTTCGAGTTTTTATGACTAACAGATAGCAGTTGATTTTTATATATCGCCGTTATACAGCGAAAACCAGTTATCTCGAAATTTTGTGAAAAATGACTTAACAGTAGTATCCTACTCTATTTTTGGTGCTCTTTCATCTGCGAAAACCCATTAAATGCTAAGTCGCATAATCTTTGAGATAGTCAATTGGAAGATCAATTATTACGAACACTTCCGAGAATATTTCTCATGCACAAAAAAGTAACCAGACATAATTATGACTACTAAAGATTTTGCTCCAATAACATTCATTTACCACGATTTAGGCGGCTTTACCTCAAGAGCAGTTCCACAATTTAGTTTTTTTATTTCTCAGAAACAACCATTTATGAAGACTTAATTTAGTAAGATTATATGCACACTGCAGATACAAACTATTACATTGTTTTATTTTTTTTTACCCGACGGACTTAAACAGTGTTAAACAAATCCCTTCATCTACGAAAGAGGCGTAGATCTAAATATATTTTTTTTCTTGCAGAAACTAACGACATTAAAGATTTTTTTTCCACGGGTAAAAACAATTATAAAAGTTTAAATCAGTTAAATAATGTGTACTGCGCAATGATGCTTGTATGAAAAATATTTATAACTAATTAATTGGTATTCTCTGAGGGTAATGGCGGCAGTGCCACTTGAAATCACTACAGCGAAAAACGATTAAACCAGTTTACGCGCGGTGGCGCTAGCGTCTGTGTTGTTTATACTTGTTTGTCATTCGTGCACTTGCATTTCGGCGGCAGACAATTAATTGAAGTTTTTTTATTAGTTACGTTGTGTAACTTGTGTAAGTGATAATAACATTATTATTGTGATGTGTTCCAATAAGGTCGATATCGATTTTGCAAAGCATGGAAACGAGATAGGTAAGAAACAATAATTTTAATAAACAATAATTCATTTAATGCCGATAATGTGAGGTTATAATATTACAGACAATTACAAAGTGGTTGATAGGTGAATAAAAGCCTGTAATAGCTATGATTAATGTGTCGAGTTGAGAAAGAAACTACTTTACTACTACTTTAAGCTTTAAGTAGTAGGTACCTATAATTTTACTGTAGAGAAAATGCATAAAATTATGTTTTTTTGGCGAATGCCTTGTTTGTACGGACGCGGGACCGTAAGTTTCTTTGCATGGTTTGAACATTACTTTGCGGGAATTGGTGACATGATATATTAAATTCATTACCTACCACTAATCTTATTCCATTGGTACTGTTTGGCGGGTTTTTAAATATTTACTTTATATTTTACAGAATGTTTAATCGACGACGATGGCGACGATCAACTTATCTCTCAAGCATATGATCAGCTTATTTCGCAAGCATTTGTAGAAGATAATGAAACTGATACTTCAGGTCTTTACGCTTTTTATTAAGTTTTAACCAACTTCAAATAAGAAGGAGGTTCCTAATTATTATACTATACTTAAGTTTGTCATGTTATAATCTTTGGCGATTGTGAACCAATTTTAATTATTATTAAAATTTATACTTTGAGGGTCCCATATAAATTAATCCCAAAGAATATTGAAGTATGTTTATCTATGAGGGTTCCGTACCTCAAAAGGAAAAAGCGGTTAGGTTTGTACTTGGGATGCCTAACTTCGTTCCTACTAACTATGAAACCCTTCATTTTGCGTGGTCAAACACACCTGGCCGGTTTTTAGGGTTCCGTACCCGAAGGGTAACCAACGGGGCCCTAATACTAAGCCTCCGTTGTCCGTCCGCCCGTCCGTCTGTCAGCGAGCTGTATCTCAAGAACCGTAATAGGTAGACAGTTGAAATTTTCATAGAATGTGTAGTTCTATTGCCACTATAACAAAAAATAATAAAAATAAAATAAAACTATGTTTTTTTTTCGTTTTATGGTACGAAACCCTTCGAGTGGGAGTCCGACTCGCACTTGGCTGGTTTTTTAAAGATTTTTCTCTGTAACTTAAGAAAAAGAAGCTTTAATCGTAAATTTATTTGATATAAAAAAAAGTTTATTGTCTGTCTGTGATTTCGCAATTAATAATTAGAATAATATAGATGTTTTAACTAACGGCCGCTTTTTTTCCACAGTTTTAACCCATAATGAAGACTCTGCCAGCCATTTAATCACGCTTGATGATTTGCTTGGGCGTTGTTCTACTTCTGCAAAAACATTAAAAGAACTTGCTTTGGACGCTTTAGGCGAAGCTGATAGGAAAAAAAAATTACGATAATGATCTGAACGATTCTTCTACAATTGCTACAATTATTTTAATGGACATTTTTGATGAGGCATGCAAAAGAGCAAAACAAGTTGAACGCTGGAGAAAAGCTAATCCTTCTTTATGGAAAGTTAATGTCGCGAAGAAAAGACGCGCAGAAGGCTCGGTTTATCTCATAAAAAACAAAATAAGACCTGCAAAAAGACCAAAAGCAATAGACTGCTCGAAGTGCACGTTCGAATGCTCAGATAAAATCAACGAAGAGGCTAGAATATTCATATGCAGAAGGTTTTGGAGCTTAGACTACGTTGGACAGAAAAATTTCCTACTAGCTAACATGGAAGTCAAAACTACCAAAACATTATTGTTAGAAAGAAAACAAACTACTAAAAGAGCTTACTCCACGCAATGCTTTTTTAAAATAGAAGATAAAATTAATGTCTGTCAAAAGTTTTTCTGCAAAACTCTTTGCAGAAAAACTTTGGGAAATCCAAAGTGTGATACATAATGCTATCAAGAATAAGGATCTCATCGGCCACTTTAAACAAGACAACGATCCTCGTGGACGTCGTGCGCCAACTAATAAAACACCCTCTGAAAAAGTAGAAGAAGTTCGTAATCACATTAGGTCGTTTCCATCAATGGAAAGTCATTACATAAGGAAAGATTCCAAGCGCATGTACTTAGATTGTAAACTGTCCATCGGTAAGATGTACTCTCTTTATGTTGAAGAGTGTGAAAAACGTAATAGCAAACCTGTGTCTGAGATAACATATCGACGAATTTTCGGAAACGATTTCAACTTAGGATTCTTTAAACCAAAAAAAGACCAATGTCTGATATGCACTAAGTATGCTCGTGGAGATGCAAATAGTAATCCAAATCTGGAAGTGGAATATCGAGAGCACATGGCTAGAAAAGAAGCTTGTAACAATGAAAAAGCTAAAGATAAAGAAAGAGCTAATATGCTAAGAGAGTTTGTGTCACTATCATTCGATTTACAAGCAATTCTGCAGATTCCTAGTGGTGACATTGGTCTTTTATATTATACAAGAAAATTGACAGTGTATAATTTAACAATTTATGAAAGTGCTTTACCTAACAATGCTCATTGCTTCACATGGTCCGAAATTAATGGAAAAAAGGGAAGTTGTGAGATAGGGACGATCTTGTACAACTATTTATCGGAATGCATACCGAATTATGTAACTGAAGTGAGCATGTTCTCGGACACGTGTGGCGAACAAAATCGCAATAAAAACGTGGCAGCAATTTTACTATGGGCAGTACAAAAAATACCAAATTTAAATATTATTGAACAAAAGTTCTTAGAAAGCGGACATTCGTATATGGAGGCAGATTCGATGCATAGCAGCATCGAAGCGTCACAGAAAAATACAGCAATCTATTCTATGTTGGATTGGATTAACGTATTCAAAAGAGCGAGGTCTAAAAACAAATATAAAAAAGACAACAAAAAAGTTGTGAAGGAACCATACAAAGTCAAAGAATTGAAATATTTTGAATTTAAAGATTTGAAAGCATTATCGGACCAAATTCTGAAAAATACAACCAGAGATACAGACGGAAAAGTAGTAAAATGGTTAAAGATAAAGCGATTGAGGTACATTAAAGGAGAGGCGAAGATATTTTATAACTACAACATGTCTGAGTCTTTTTCAACCATTGACGTTTGTAAAAAATTTGGACAGAAAGAAAATACGGGTTGGGCAAATTTAGATCCGGAAACACAAAGAGAGCATAGTTATGGTACAAGAACGAAAAAGAAAAAGACTCTCGATAATAATTTGTCCGTAACACCTGAAACCAGTGCAACAAAATATTTTCCTGACGAACTTCTGCAGCTTTACAAAACTCCTTTAAGCATCAGTGCTGCCAAAAAAAAAGACTTGTTACAACTATGTGACAAAGGAGTTATTCCAGAAGAGTTGCATGCTTGGTTTCAAGGGTTGAATAGCAATGTTGCATGTAAAGACATGCTACCTGATTGCACTGTATCAGACGAAGATCCTGCAACATCTGATGAGGATTAAACTATTTTTTTATTTTTTGTGTTGATTAATTTTTTCAGCATTAAAACTTCATTTTTATTAACATTATACTTTTCATTTAATAATTATCAATATCCTTAAACTACCGAAACTAAGAATAAACCAAAATTAAACATAACAAAATAATTTTGGTTATTTCATTGGGAATACATTCATTGAAAACAGTTTTCAGTTCAGGTAAAACCAAGTATATTTTCGAATTTTTGGTTTTATTTTGAATTCTATGGACAAATACAACATTGAAGTCAATGTATTTTTGTAAACAACCATAATACAATTTGTTTATAACATTAACGGTAGTGTTATCCAAGCTGTTCCTCGGTAAATTACAATAAATAAAATTTCTACATTTTCAGGGAAAACCAATTAAATAGGGTACTCTATGAACGTTAACATACTTTTTGCTTTTAACTACTAAGTAGATTACAATAATTAACATTACAGTCATAAAAGGATAAATGATACAATCGTAAATAACCTTAATTATTTACATAATCTTGGTTCTTGTAAGAAATATTTTGTCGCTAAAATTTCAATTGCATTTATTTCAAAGCTGATTTTGACTTATTAATTGGTTTTCGCTGTATAAAGGCGATATAATGATTTGTAGTTTCAGAAGTATTATGTATCAATTTAAACTTCAGTATGGATAGAACATTTGAAAATATAATGCAGCTGACCCGCGGTAATCTGACAAATGTTTTGCATGGCAGTGTCGGATTATCAAATTTGTCGGACTATATATAGTACTTGTTGGCAACACAACATTAAGTTTTTATCTGTATGGGAAAAAAGCCCAGAAGCTATTCCAAAAATATTAATTGTCTAATTTTATCTGTCAATGTTACTAATGTCATTACTGTACAAGAGAATTATTACACGGAGCACACGCATTTTCACCCGATCTGCAGTTTTATTATTTATAAATAACTAAGATCCCAACAAATGGTCCTTCGAGTAATAACAATATAGTCTATCCAGCGAAAGAACGGTGACTTCGTGTGAAGCTTTGGATCATACAACTTCCAGAAGATACCCACGCCACGCCCCGGTCGTAGCGAAAAAGAAACGGGCAAGTCCACTTTAGAATTTCAAGGGCGAGTCCAAAACGCTCCAGAAAGTTCGAGCGCTGCGTTTGAGTGTTCTGGAAATCCAAGTTTGGTTCAAGCATAAAAAAAAAAAAATAACCAACTGTCGGTGACGCCGAGAGTGCTTCGTCGCCGCGCCAGGAGGACGCATCTGATTGGCTCGCGTCACATCACGACACTCAGAAGAGCCAATCAGCGACGGGCGAGTCCATCGAGTTCGAGAAGCACGCGTCACCACGTGGCCTCGCCGGCGCGCCGCCTCCGAACGAGCATAATTCAGTTTTACAGAAAAAAACGTGTTGTTTCGTGCTTGTGCAGTCAGATAATTTCAGTTACAACTGAATTATATTGTTGTAACAGCAATTTTACAGTGTGCGAAACAAGTTTTCAACAATGGATGGCGAACAAATTAGAACGCTCGTCAGGAAACGAGCGTCCATCAAAGGTACTCTAACTAAAATTGAAAACATGTTCAAAAACGAAGAGGATTACAAGGAGTTCTCTAAACAAGCGTTAGTCCTAAAGGAAGAGCGTCTTCGCGACACATTCAAAAAGTACGAAGACTATACTTTGGAGATTTGCGCCATAGATCCCGACTTCGATGATGGCGATGATGTAGAAGAGCAGTACAGCAAAACGCTCACCGTCATCAGAGAATTATTGGAAACAATAAATTGTGAAAAAGGTTGTAAAAACGAGTGTGTTACAAAAAGTTTCAATACAAAGTTACCTACCATAAATGTACCAACGTACTCTGGTAAGTACTCCGAGTTCAAGCCATTCATACAACTCTTCGATTCACTCATACATAACAATCAAAATTTAGATGATGTGCAAAAGTTTTTCTATTTACGTAGTTTTCTGCGAGAGGAACCTCACGATCTGGTCAAAAATCTCACATTGTCTACTAAGAGTTACCATGAGGCCAGAAAAATTCTAGTTGATAGATACGACAACAAATATAAAATTACATATACACATTTTGTTCGATATTGTACCTATATGTAAATCAACAGCGAGTAATTTAAGAAACTTTGTATCTATTGTTAAGCAACAATTAGCTGCCTTAAAAAACCTAGGTCACTCAGTTGATCAATGGGATCCAATAGTACTTTGCATTCTGACTAGAAAGTTAGACTTATTGTGCAGTAGGGAATTCCAATTAACTCGAGTACGAGATCCTACGGTTGCGCACCTTTTTAATTTTCTATATAAGCGTGCACTTGCACTCGAGAATGTAGAGCGGCCACCGGAGCGATCCCAGCCAACTTCAAAGGTGGCTCACGTTGCAGCTGTGAAGAAAACGAATCCAGACACAGGTGCTGCTGCGGAGACTGTAGGAACAAGAAGCTGCTTACTCTGTAAGTCCAACCACAAGCTTTTTACTTGTCCACAATTTAAACTTATGTCTGCGAGTGATCGAATCAAGTTTGCCACATCTAACAAGCTATGTGAGGTTTGTTTAAATAATCATAGTAAAAAATGCAGATATCACTTTAAATGTAATGTCTGCAAAGAAGGGCATAATACATTGCTCCACGAAGATAAAGCATCGTCTCCAGTAACATTGATGTCTGAGGCTGCCTCCGAGCAGGTACTATTGCCTACAGCACAGGTAAAACTACTAGCGAGCAATGGTACAGAGGTTCATGTCAAGGCTCTTCTAGATACTGGATCACAGGCATCTTTTGTGACTAGAGAACTTGCAAATCTATTAAAATTACAAATTGATACAGCCAACACTCCAGTTATTGGTATAGGCAATACCTTAAACAAATTAAAGGAGAAGGTCCATTTGGAAATACATTCCCTCACTCAGAATTTTAAAATATCAGTCACATGCTACTTATTGGACAAAATAACTTCAAAGTTACCACAAAGAAAGTTTGACTTGCATAACGTAGTTTTACCTTCCAAAATTATGCTAGCTGACAAAAGGTTCAATGAGCCAAGTGACATACACATTCTATTAGGTGCTGACATATTTTTCCAGATCTTGCTGCCACCTGAGCCTGAGCTTCAAGCTCTTCCATCCAGCTCGGAGGCACCTGATGGCAGTGTCACACCTAAGGCTCCATTACTAAATACAAGACTTGGTTATGTAATTGCAGGTAACACACCTACACAACACACCGAACCAGTCATTACTTTATTTTGCAAAAAATGTGACTATGATTTAAACAATTCTATTGTTAAGTTTTGGAAGTGTGAAAGTGTTCCAGAGACCTTCCCAGAGGCACATTCTGAAAATGACTTGTGCGAAAAGATATTTTGTGACAATGTCGAGCAAGATACAAAAAATAATAAAATACAAGTAATCTTGCCACTAAAGTTACCATTAGATTCAATCAATCAAGCTTTAGGAGATTCATTATATTTAGCTTTAAAAAGATTTCATAACTTAGAACATAGATTTAAAAAAGATTCTAATCTTTTTATGCTATACAAGGAGTTCATTCATGAATATTTAAAGCAAAAACATGGTACATTAATTGATATAAGTCAATATAACCTATCTACTGACCCATTGTGCTTTTTACCACACCACCCTGTACTTAGGCTAGATAAAAAGACAACAAAATGCCGGGTTGTATTTGATGGGTCTATGAAAACAAGTACAAAAACATCTTTGAATGATTTATTACTTAATGGTCCTGTAGTACAAAAGGAGCTAGTAGATGTCTTAATGCTATTCAGAGTTGATAAATATTTTTTCATAACAGACATCAAAAATATGTTTAGAAATATAAATATACATCCCAAGCACAGGTCATTACAAAATATTCTATGGAGAGACTCTCCAGACGAAAGTGTTAAATGTATTCAATTAAACACAGTCACTTATGGCTTAAAGAGCTCAACCTATTTGGCAACTCGATGTTTGAAAATGTTGGCTGAACAACACCACAATGAGTACCCTATAGCTGCTTCTATTTTAAATAATTCCACATATGTCGATGACATTCTTTATTCAGAAAAGACGTTGGTTGGATTGTCAGCAGCAAAGGAACAATTATGCAGTTTGTTAAGCTTAGGAAGTTTTCAATTACACAAATGGGTTTCAAATTCACCAGACTTGTTAAAAGAAATACAAAAAGATCAACAACATTTTGATGAGATTGATCTAGAGAAAAATAACACTTCTTTAAAAACACTAGGTATGAATTACAATATTAAGTTAGATTCATTTATCATATCAAGCCCAAAAACTGTTAATAACATGCCTCAATCTAAGCGTGAAATTCTTAGCTTCATAAGTGGATTCTACGACCCACTAGGTCTTGCTGGACCTATTGTGGTAAGCGCAGGCTATAATGCAATGCTTGTGGCAAGAAAAATTGGACTGGGATTCGGTGCCAAATTGTGAACTGCTACAGCTTTGGCACAAGTTTTATAATAGCTTGCTTACAATGCAACCAATGCGTATACCGCGACACATAAGTGTGCATGACATAAGCTTTACACAAATTATAGGGTTTGCTGATGCATCTAGCAAAACTGGTTATGGCTGTTGTGTATATCTAAGAGTCGTGGATTCAATGGGTAATGTCAAGACATCCTTGCTTTGTTCGAAATCACGAATAAATCCTATTAATAAGAGTTTATCAGTTCCTCGACTAGAACTTAATGCAGCTCTATTGCTGGCAAAGCTTGTCAGCAGAGTTCATCACATATTAACTGTTAAAATGCAAATACAGGATATTATAATTTATTCTGACTCACAAATAGTATTAGCTTGGCTCAAAACTAACATTAATACACTTAAAGCTTATATAGCGAATCGCGTTAAGGTTATCTTACAACTTACACAAGAGTACACATGGTCATACGTTAGCTCGAACGAGAACCCCGCCGATTGTCTTAGCCGAGGAGTCATACCAAACGAGCTAGCCGATTATGACCTGTGGTGGAAAGGGCCTGCGTTTCTGCGTTCACGTGAGTACAAGCCACAATTAAATTTAATTTTGCCACAGGATTTACCAGAGGTTAGCGTCGACTCTGCATGCTTAAGTGCAATGCTTTGTACTACTTCTGGTGAGCAATCGTTACGTCTCGATTTTCTTGAAAAATTTTCCGATATCAATAAAATGACGAGAGTTTTAGCTTACATCTTACGTTTCGTTCAGAATGCAAAGTCAAAATCAGTCTCTAAAAATAAACTTAATTATATTACAACTCAGGAACTTAATCTGTCATTGTCAATGATTCTAAAATATGAACAAGAAAAATATTTGTCAGAAGATATTCATGCCTTAAAATGTAAGAAAACAATTGTTAAAGGTAATTTAAAGCCATTATGTCCGTTTATCGATGATGGGGGGTTGGTTCGCGTGGGAGGCCGATTACAAAATGCCTCCATTCCCTATGCACAGAAACATCCCATTGTCTTACCTAAGGACTCCCGCATCACTAATTTAATTATTGTAAGTGAACATTTAAAAAACCTCCATGCGGGTTCAAAGCTTGTTCTGTCATCGATAAACCAAAGATTCTGGATAGTGAACGCTCTCAGACAAGTTAAAAAAGTGTTACATAAGTGTACTGTTTGTTTTAGATTAAAAGCTGAATCAGCAAAACAGTTAATGGGTTCTTTGCCGCCAGATAGGGTCAATGTATGTCGCCCCTTCCAAAAGGTAGGTTTAGATTACGCTGGTCCGATACCACTGAAAATAGCCAGGATCAGAAAACCTATAATCTCAAAAGGTTATATTTGCCTGTTTGTGTGCTTTGTAACAAAAGCTATCCACTTGGAGCTAGCCACTGATTTAAAAACAGAAAACTTTATAGCCTGCCTAAATAGATTTATATCGCGACGCGGATTGCCCACAGACATATATAGCGACAACGCTTCAACCTTCAAGTGCGCAAAGAACCAATTAAACGAACTACATAACTTTCACAACTCGCCAGTTCACCAAAGACGGGTGTGTCAATATTCAGCTCAAAAGAGGATTAATTTTCATTTTTTACCTTGCTATTCACCAGTCTTCGCTGGATTGGCAGAAGCCGGCGTCAAAAGTGTAAAGTACCACTTAAAGAGAGTGTTACTAAAGTCCATTCTTACTTATGAAGAACTGTATACAGTCATATGCCAAATTGAGTCTAGTTTAAACAGCAGACCTCTCATGCCATTATCCAATGATCCAAATGATTATACTTGTATTACTCCAGGTCATTTCTTAATAGGAACTGCTTTAAATACTTATCCTGAGCCCAATGTAAACATAATAAAACAATCTCAATTTTGGAAAACTTGTAATGAAATAAAAATGCCGTTCTGGAAGGTTTGGAGTAAGCACTATTAAAATTTGTTACCATCTCGCCCTAAGTGGCAAGACATTCAACCTAATGTAAAGGTAGGAGCATTGGTGATCCTAAGGGATGACAATTTGTCACCACTATACTGGCCCCTAGCCAGAGTCATAAATACCTACCCTGGTAAAGATGGAAAAGTGAGAGTAGTTGAAGTCAAAACTGCTAACGGCCACACACATAAAAGAGCTGTAATGAAAGTTTGTGTTCTACCGCTGGAATGCAGTGGTGCTGGCTAATAGTGATTGTCTTATAAACAAAAAAAAAAGGTTGTACCTTTACACTACATTGTTTATTATGTAATTAATATAATTAGTTTAAGTTCATTTAGTTTAATAATAATAATGATAACGTTTTTGTCTTATTACACTACATTGTTTATTATGTAATTAATATAATTAGTTTAAGTTCATTTAGTTTAATAATAATAATGATAACGTTTTGGTCTTATTACACTACATTGTTTATTATGTAATTAATATAATTAGTTTAAGTTCATTTAGTTTAATAATAATAATGATAACGTTTTTGTCTTATTACACGACATTGTTTATTATGTAATTAATATAATTAGTTTAAGTTCATTTAGTTTAATAATAATAATGATAACGTTTTGGTCTTATTACACTACATTGTTTATTATGTAATTAATATAATTAGTTTAAGTTCATTTAGTTTAATAATAATAATGATAACGTTTTTGTCTTATTACACGACATTGTTTATTATGTAATTAATATAATTAGTTTAAGTTCATTTAGTTTAATAATAATAATGATAACGTTTTTGTCTTATTACACTACATTGTTTATTATGTAATTAATATAATTAGTTTAAGTTCATTTAGTTTAATAATAATAATGATAACGTTTTTGTCTTATAAACAAAACAAATGCTGTACCTATCCGTTACATTGTTTAGTACTTAATTACTTCAATTAGTTTGTTAATTCGATTAATGTCAATAAGATAACATTTTTGTTTCTTGTCCTTTTGTTAATACTAATATCTTTATTACCTATATTGTCTATGTGAATTAATAGGGTGTTTCAATGTTTGTATACTTTAATAATAAGTACCTATCATCTTAATCTTCCAGTTGCCCCGCCAATATGTTGGCAACACAACATTAAGTTTTTATCTGTATGGGAAAAAAGCCCAGAAGCTATTCCAAAAATATTAATTGTCTAATTTTATCTGTCAATGTTACTAATGTCATTACTGTACAAGAGAATTATTACACGGAGCACACGCATTTTCACCCGATCTGCAGTTTTATTATTTATAAATAACTAAGATCCCAACAGTACTGTCACAGCCCCCTGGTAGTCTGGAACTTTTTGTCCACATATTCGCAAAGAACACCTCCCTCCGTGGCGAATTCATAACACGACTCGACTGTATCTACATGTTATAGGCATATCAAATTACAGGAGGTCCGGGGATCCACTGTATTAAAAATTTGTGTAGACTAGATAGACTAGAATTTTAGTATTAATATAATCAGTTACATCATTTTACCTGCTAAATATCACATATTAGATGCTACTGTTTGACTGAAGATTTGTGTGGCATATTTGACATGATTGTCTGTAAGCTTTGGCATTAGTCTTATACCTTTGTATCCAGGGTTTTCTTTGAGTAACAATTCAACATGTTGCCATTTTGCTGTTCGCAACTGCTTGTCACTTGCTACATATGTCAGGTTTTTTGTTAATAAATTATTGCGAATGCATTTTATTAGATGTGGAGGGTCAAACAGTGGAATGACTTCCTGATCATTGACAAGAAACATATTTTCTACAGGTTCTCGTCCAGACTTTATGAAAATCCCTCTTGTCTCCTGAATTAAAAGTTTAATGGCTTGCCTGTTATTGGTGCCTTGATCACACACTGTTGCTATCACAATAAGGCCAGCCCCTTGTAATTCTTTAATTACTTCTTTGAGTTGCACTGATAATTCCGGTCCACTTGTAGTTCCTGCAGAAAATATGTATGATACGGATTGTTTATAATTTTTTATCAATCCCCGTACCATGAACACTTGTGCATGATCAGCATAGTCAGGTCTGGTTTTTCGGCCATCAGTAGCGAAACCAATTACCTTATCTTTTCGCTCATTATAAGTTAAATTGGCTTTCAATGTCATTTCGTTAAATAAAACAATGCACAGTCTCTCTTCAACTTTAAACTTTTTTGTAGCTATCTTGATCTGAGCAAATATTCTTTTATTTATTCCAGGCTTTATATTTGCATGGTTTAAAAGTTTTAAGAGTTTGTGGAGTCGGTAAGATGAATATTTTTCTTAAAAATCTATAACACTTTGGACTTTGTTTTAAAATTGACAAAGCTACAATTTTTTCCTCTAGAGAAAATCGTCGACCTTTGTCCTTCTTTTTAATTTCCCTGAACTGCAATAAAGTTAATATTTTAGCTGTTCTGGGCAGCTTATCAATGGCTTTTATAAATGCAGGATTAGAAGTCAGTTTTTTCGCTGCCTTGAGACTTGCAGACTGCTTTTTAACTTGGTTTTTGTACTTGCTCAGTTTGTTTTTCACTTGAATAAGCTTCTAGTATAAATCATGCTCTAATGTGGTAAGAGCTTTAATTTTTTTAGAAACAAAGGTCTTGGTTTCCTTTTTAGTGCACCCTGAAAACCAACAACTGTGTTTTAGAAACATAAATAAAACAGTATACTACATAAGTTTATCTACACTAATACTAGCTATATTTAATAAAACCTTATTATGTGTAAGAGATGAAACGGATAGCTGTTTGGCGGGATACCGGATATTCGGCCACTCTTATCGCCAGATAGCCGGATATTCTGAAGAACATTGCGGTTTGGTTCATCGCAAAAAGTGAACTTGCATATGTGGCACTAGTGGTGGCGATCGTGTGCACGCGTGACTCGGGCCACGTTCGGGTCTTTTGGGTAGAAGCTGAAAGAGCTCGCCAGGAAATTCTATTGGTCTAGCAGTTCATCTTCAACACCGGCTAAAAATAGCAGAGGAGAGGAAACAGAGTCAGCTGTATCTCGCTAAGCTCATTACACATCCTGGGATTGCTTTAATGAAGTCACAAATGAAAACAATACTAGCCATGTTTATATGCTAGTTACACCATGAAGAAAAAAAACGCGATTGCATGTGAGATTAATTTTTATCTAAAGTCAGTGCGAATTGCACACAATCGCGACCCTTCTTGTATTTGGTGGGCAGCTAATGCTACACAATACCCTAATTTATCAAAGTTTCCCAAAATCTGTCTTTCAGCACCCTGCAGCAGTGTGTGCAGCGAAATACTTTTTTCTGAAACAAGCCTTGTTTATGAAGACAGGCGAAACTGCATGTTACCTTTCTATGCAGTTTAATTACAAATTAGTACTTATTCCCCATAATTTGCCTTTAGTGCAGTATGAGTACTAATTTTCTGAGTTTTGATATTAAAATTTTGTGACTACTGATTATATTTCTTATGAGGCATAAATAAGGTACTTAACTAAATGTGATAATTATGTATTTTTTTTTAAATCCGGTATCCGGCCGAATAGCCATTTGTTATCCGGTATCCAGCCAGATAGTAATTTAGGCCAGATAGGCCAAATACTGGATAGTTACCGGATATATGTTTCATCTCAATTATATTATTAGCCTAAAGTTAATTTCTAAAACCCATTAAATTAGGAATTAACATTTTATGTATAAATTGTTGTATTAAAAAATAATCTCAAGTTACTTACTGTTATATATTTTCTCAGCTACATTTACTTCAAGAGGAGATTCTTTTATAATGCTTGACAATTCTGGTATTGCATTCTCAGCTACATTTACTTTAGTTATAGTATTTGACACATCTGAGATGACAACAGATGGATCTGAAAAAGACAAAGTTATTGTACCTTTATAGTCACATCCCGCTCCAGCACAAGATAAAGTTAAAAAGTTAAAGTTACAGCGTATATACATCCCACTGCTGGGCACAGGCCTCCTCTCATTTCTGAGAGGGATTTTAGGGCAAGGAAATGTCTGGCACAAAATGAAGTAATGGGAAAATTATCTCACATATCACATCTAAGATCATACCTATGTTTTCTTCCATCCAAGCATATGTACTGGATGTAGCCAATGCATCAACCGCAAAATCTGAAATAGAAAGTATATGTATTGGGTCAGTGAATCGAAACCAAAAATTGTTAGAACTATGAAAAAAAACTTTATTACTTATAAACACAGGTTATTAGATGATTTACGTATGAACATTTTATTTTACAATGGCGGACAAATTGCAAACTTAACAACGCTGACAGTTGCCGTACTTCACGATGGTATAGTAACGTACCTAGTTATACATGTATACACATATTTTTAAACGATCTCTTATACTACTTATATTGGCTCACGATCTTCGCGATTATTTCATCACTACAACACCTCCCCTCGAAGTCGTGAGCAATAAAACTCTGGACACTTACATACCCATCATTCCTAAATTGCGCAAACATTCATGATGTTTTGGTCCACTCAAACCTTTGGTCAAAACATCTGCTGGCATTCTTTCTGTACATAAATATCTGAGTTCAATAAGACCTTCTTCACACATATCTCGTACAAAGTGGTGCCTAACATCAATATGTTTTGTTCGTGACCGATAACTTCTATTTTGAATTAATTTAATTGCACCCTGATTGTCATTAAATAATGTCACACACTCGCATTCAATACCTATATTATTAAAAATGTTTGATAAATACAAAGCCTCCCTTGTAGCTTCAGATATAGCTACATATTCGGCTTCTGTACTTGAAAGTGCCACCACTCGTTGCTTTCGTGCCTCCCAACTAATAGGAGCACCTGCAAAAATAAAAGCAAAACCAGAATATGACTTTCGATCTACACTATTCGCTGCCCAATCGGCATCCACAACACTAAACAATGACAAACCTGTCCTCTCATACACTAAACCGTAGTTAGGAGTGCCTTTCAAATATCGCAATACACGTTTTGCTGCCTTCCAGTGCTCAACATTATAATTAGTATTAAATTGGCTTAAGTAGTTAACGCTGTAAGTGATATCAGGCCTAGTTGATACTGCTAAAAACATCAAAGCACCTACCAAGCTTTGATACTGACACTGCTTCATTACACTCTCATTCACACTCTCAGGCTTCATTAATTTTACATTAACATCGATAGGTGTTAATGCTGGTTTGCATTCACACATGCCAAAGCGTTCCAACAGTCTTTCAATATACACACTCTGTTCCATATACACTCTATCCTCATTATCACGTGAAAACTGTATACCTAAACAATCAGAAATTTTTCCCATATCTTTCATTTCAAATTTATTTGACAGTTTATTTTTAACATTATTTAACCATACATTATCATTTGTAGCTAAAATAAGATCATCGACATATATAGCAATCAACATTATGTGCTCATTCTTCCGCGCTACAAAAACACACTGATCTTGAGGTAATGCCTTAAAGCCTATACTTAACAACATTCGCACTAATTCTTTATGCCACTGTAGCCCTAACTGACGTAAACCATACAATGACTTCTTCAATAAACAAACACAATCATCACATTCGTTCATCATCTTACGCCAACGCTTAGCCGTCTCAGTTATTTTAGTGTCTAGAATAACACTTTCAGAAGAACCAATCCTTTTGTTTGAGAGTATTTTGTCTAAAACTGCGCTTAATTGTTCTGGTAAATTCATATAAACTTCTTCTTCAAGTCGACCATTCAAGTATGCAGTGACAGCATCCATATGATGTATATCTAGTCCAAGCTCAGCTGAAATTGCTGCTAAAATTCTAATTGATGACGATTTTACGACAGGAGAATAAGTTTCATGAAAATCCTCCCCTGGCCATTGTGAGCAGCCTTTTGCGACAAGACGTACTTTCATCTGCCTTTGCTTATTATAATTTTTGGTACTGAATACAAATCGACTCCCAATTACTTTTCGATCATGAGGTCTAGGCACTATTTCCCATGTGTCATTTTTAATTTGAGCTAAAAATTCATTTTCCAAGGCTTTTCTCCATTCGTTTACATCATCTGTCTTTTCGGCTTCATTCCATGTCATTGGTTCTATTGTTGCAATCCCTGCAAATTGGATTTCTTCCGATTCCGTGTCCTCATAAATGTGGGAGACCACATCATCAAAAGGTGTTGTTGGTTTTGTTATAACACGAACTAATCTCGAACGTCTTTGATCTCCTTTAGAAGGTTTTATTAATCTTTCCCATGATACAGTGGCTTTTCTTTCTCTTGGTGATCTTGTAATCGTTCTACTTCTCTCATCATCTTCATTATTTGAATTTTCCAACGGTTTTGTCATTTGTTCTATATTTTCTACAGGTTCATTTAAATCTGATATTATTTTATCCTGTTCCACCCCTTGTTCTTTATTGAGTATGTCCTCATATTCATGTCTAAAAGCTGTTTTATTCAGGAATTTGACATTCCTACTCAAAATTATTTTCTTGTTTCTTGGGTTATGAATTCTATAAGCTTTTGATTGTGTATCGTATCCCATAAAAATGCCTACTTCTGAAACTGAATCAAATTTTCCCCTTTGTTTACCTTTCTCTTTATAATAAACTTTAGATCCGAACACTTGCATATATATAACTGTAGGTTTATTTCCTTTCCATATAGTAAATGGTATCTCCCCATTAATAGCTCTCGTTGGACATCTATTTCGTATATAGTTAGCGGTATTAACAGCTTCTGCCCAAAATGACGGCGGACATCCGGCTTGGCGCATCATACATCGTGCCATTTCTATTAAAGTCCTATTCTTTAGACCCTTTTTACTGGCAAAGAGGCATTCCATCTTAGTCCTCACGGGTGACAACGCATCTGCATCTTGAGTCTTTATTGAGGATAGATGTAGATGTCTATGGGTCACAGTAACCACTTACCATCAGGTGGACTGTGTGCTCGTTTGTCACCCGATCCTATAAAAAAAAAAAAAAAAAAAAAATTCTTTCTTTCAGCAACGCCATTTTGTTGGGGTGTATGTGGTACTGATAATCTCCGTGTGATGCCATTTGTCTTCAGAAAATTATTAAATTCATTGTTTACATATTCACATCCATTATCTGATTGAAGACACTTTATTTTCTTTCCAGTAAAATTTTCAACTTCGGCTTTATAATTTTTGAATATATTAAATACATCACTTTTATTGCGAATAAAATAGACTTCACACCAGCGTGATTTATCGTCAATAAATGTAACAAAATATCTTTTTCCAGCAAATGATTGGTGTCTCATCGGACCACATACATCTGTATGTACAATTTCTAATAGTTCACTTGTACGATTGCTGATGCCCTTAGGAAAAGGTTTACAAGTTTGCTTCTCACTCATACAAATCTCACACTCTGACAATTTTTCGTTGTCCTTAATGTTTAATCCATGGACAAAATTTTTTTTTGCCATGATTTTTAGGTCACATTCATTAAGATGACCTAAACGCTCGTGCCATAAATCTATTGATTTTTTTACAGCTTCAACATTACTCACACTGCTTTGACATAATCGCATATGGTATAAGTTGCCAATTCGATCAGCTCGCATATGAATTTTATTTTCTTCGTCAATCACGATTGCGTCACTCTTCCTGAATCGTACCTCGAAACCGTGATCAGTTATTTTAGCCACCGACAGTAAATTTGTGCGTAAATCCGATACATAAAAAACGTTGTCGATGTCAACTCGGCGCTCTTCGCTGCCTGTGTCCACATTAATGCTCACCTTACCTTTTCCAGCAATTCGTGTGCTCTCATTATTGGCCAAATTTAATTCACTGTCTACATACGTAAATCCCTTTAATTTTTGCTTCTCATTGCACATATGTCCTGTGCACCCGCTGTCGATGCACCACACATGACTTTTATGTTCACCTGACATCACTTCTTCAGTGGTACTAAGCATTGTACTAATACTACCTGTGTGTTTCTGTTCACTGGTTTTTCGTTCTAACTGTTGCGCACTTTGTTTTGTTTTCTTTATGAACTTACTTCTACATTCCTTCGCATAATGCCCATAGCGACCGCAACGATAACATTCACTTTTATTTTTATTTACGTACGTTTCGCCTTTCTTATAAGTATGCACCTTGTTACGCTTCACAAACAATGCCCCTTGATCAGACTCCTTCGATTTTCTGCCTTCATAATCCTCAATAATTTTAACTTTTAATATTTCTGTAGATGGTAAATCATCCCGTGACTCCATAGCCGTACGAAACATTGTAAAGGATTCGGGTAAACTGTACAATAATAATATAGCAAGCAGTTCATCAATAACTACGAGACCAATTTCTTTTAATTTTTTGACAGCATCGAAAAAATCTGCTATGTGTTTACGCAAGTCATCTTCTTCTTGCATACGAGTCAGGACAAGTTTCTTTAATAAAGATGCTTTCCGTGCCGGTCCACTAGACTGGTACATTGATTTTAATTTGTCCCATATAGATTTAGAAGTATCTAATCCATCCAGTGCTATTAACTCGCTCGGGCTAACAGCTAACAAAATGTCCGACTCGGCTTTACCGTCCATTTTACACCACTCGGCAAACTTGGCGTCAGTTTTCGCAGGCTTCGGTATCGCGCCCGACACATAATCCCACAGGTCATTTTTCTTCAAAATAGCCCGCATATGGATCTTCCATGTATCATAATTATCGCCAGTAAGTTGGTCGATTTTAACCGAAGCAGCCATAATAAAGTTAATTAATCTTCTTCAATAATGCAAATAAAATAACGATAGGTTATATACATACATTCGGTACGTAAGTATATAATACGATCTTCTCGTAAACGTCGTAACTATCTATTCACTTATGACGCCAAACTGTTATATGTATGCACCAATTACGCTTCTTTGTTTAAGACGCATATTCTTTAATATTATTATAAGTTCAACACAGTTTATATGTCACTTTTTGTCTTTTTAACACTATTTCCTGGGCCCATAACCTATTGGGTCAGTGAATCGAAACCAAAAATTGTTAGAACTATGAAAAAAAACTTTATTACTTATAAACACAGGTTATTAGATGATTTACGTATGAACATTTTATTTTACAATGGCGGACAAATTGCAAACTTAACAACGCTGACAGTTGCCGTACTTCACGATGGTATAGTAACGTACCTAGTTATACATGTATACACATATTTTTAAACGATCTCTTATACTACTTATATTGGCTCACGATCTTCGCGATTATTTCATCATCATCATCATCATCATTACAGCCCTTCACAAGTCCACTGCTGAACATAGGCCTCCCCCAAAGAATGCCACAAAGCACGGTCCTGAGCCACCTGCATCCATCGACTTCCTGCATATCTTACCAGGTCGTCACTCCATCTAGTGGGGGGACGCCCTACTCTTCGCCTGCCGGTACGAGGCTGCCACTCGAGAACCTTTCTTCCCCATCGGTTGTCGGTTCTTCGAGCTATATGGCCGGCCCATTGCCACTTCAGCTTACTAATCCGTTACGGATTAGTAAGCTGAAGTGAACGGATTATTTCATCACTACAACAATATGAATGTACAAGAATATGCATAATTGCACAGAAAATGTAGTCATTATCATACCAATTTCAAACAGCAGTTCAAAAGAATTAGAATCATCACTGATCTAGCTAGCTATCTACCTTTTGTGGTTGACGGTACATGTTCTGGTAAGTATTGCATCTGTCGTAGTGGTCTTCTTTCTGGAAAGGTGAATTGGGGTAAGGCCAGTGGTCCTGAAACATACATGCGCAAAAACTTAGACAAATCAAATAACTAATATTTAAATAAAATAATCAGTACCTTTATTTAAAAAAAAAAGTTTTATACAAATTAAGTCTTAGAACCTTGAATTTTTTACCAAACGCTTAACAGAAATAAAATATGGGAGAATAATAGATTGCAATTAGTACTCAATTTATTATTATTATTATTATAACAAAATTATATACTGACAACTAATACTTCTTTCTATTGGCAACAAAAAGAAGTATAATTGTTTTCAATTAAACTGCTATTTTAAGAAAGACCATAAATGGTTACTAATAGCAAAATTATATTGCCAAATATATTCAATCATACACTTCAACATTCATACAATCAGAGATTATATAAGGTGACAGTAAAAATGTTTCATTGATTTTATTTTTCCCACACAAGTTATAGAATGGTCTATATCACAGTAAGAACAGAAGCAGCAGTCTTAAATACAGAAAAGTTGTCCTGAGATATAATTTAGGTAAAGCTTCATAACTTCTCCTGGATTTGAGAGTAGGCAGATATCAGTCGTTTTATAGATTAGATGATATTTCTACAAAAAATTATCTCCATACAAAGATTCCTTCCTATTTTATTAACAATATGTTTCTTCATCCACAAGTCATACATTTGTATTATTGTTTCTTTATTCAAAAGGGCTCCCAGTGTTGGCTAAGGTTCCACTAATGCCTAAGGTTAAACATAATAATAATTCAAAACACACATATTTCATAAGATACTTGTACTAACCTGGCAGGTTTAATGTTGGTGTAGCAATATTATTCAATCTACCATAGCGGCAACAGAACTTTTCTTCAAAGTGAGCATGACACACACGGCGGTGTTTGTATATGTCATCAGATTCCAACCCAATAATATCACCTCCAATAGAATGGACCCATATATTAAAGCGTAGTCTGTCTTTCACTGGATTCGGAAATAAATGCAGAGGCTTCTGCATACCTGAACAGAAATAAACATATGTTAATTTAAGTTATTAATTCTTATTTAAGTTACATAGTTAACCCGATCAGAGTGTGGTCCAAGGACCTGCAAAATTAACTGGTCTTAGGCCAAAAGATTAATATGTACATATAACTTTATAGGGGTCTTGTCAAAGTCCAACCTAATTTTTTTTTTGTTTTTAAAAAATAGATACTAGTAACATTATTAAACAGTACTAATATTCCCTTTAACCACTTCTGGTAAGCTTAAAATGCTTGTGTTAGAAGTGGTTCACGACAGTAGTCGAATGGCGGATTCGAACCCACGACCTTTCGAGTTCGCAGTCTGCGCCCTGCCATTAGGCTACTGACGCTTTTTTTTTTTACATGGTAGAGCCATGCTACAGCTATATTAGTAGTATAGTTGTAGCACGAATGGGTCGGCTCGACCGGGGAAGGACCACGCTCTCACAGAATATCAGCATCAAATAGCAGCTTCATGCTGCTGTGTTTCGTATGGTGAGTGTAGAGAACCAGAGACCCTTTTTACTGGAAAAGAGGCCATTCTATCTAGTAGTAGCTAGTCCTCACGGGTGACAACGCATCTACATTTGAGGATAAATGTAGATGTCTATGGGCCACAGCAACCACTTACCATCAGGTAGACTGTGTGCTCGTTTGTCACCCTATCCTTTATAAAAAAAATAATGGATCACTATTCCAAAAACTCATTTTAGTTTGACACTTTGACAAGCATGCGTAGCATGATAACCGTAGACAAGGGCTTTTTCGACGGAAGAGTAGATAAAATAACATTACTGCTTCTATACAGTGTAATTTTGTCTAGCTAAACTTGTTCTTGTTGGGCAGTCCAATCTAGTTTTTGTCTTCTCTCCCTCGACAAACCCTTGGATACATGTGTGCTACGCAAGTAACTGCAACTTGCATTTTTCTTTAGTATGTTACTTATGTCTTTGATTGGGCGCTAAGATTTTAAAGTAATTAAGAAACTTACTGCCTGAATCCATACAACCAGGAACACAACACTTTTTACTAGATAGCGACATAATATCTGAAGTCCTATAAATCACTAAAACAAAAGAATTTAACAAAATTTGGAATAATATACCTCCTCCTTTACAGGAGATCGTGAATATAAAATCATTTGGAAAGAAATGCAAAGTATGGTTACTTGAACAACAAAAATTGGAGGCAGGTATTAAGTTTCATATTATATAAATTTGCCGATTTACATGTTTATACATTTTAGTCTTTTCTTTACGTTGTTTCACGTCAATGCCAAGATAAGGTTAAGATACTGTGTTTTTTAAAAGTTGGCTGTGGCAGAATACCAGCGGTGACCTCAAATCACCACATAGCTGAGTCACAGGCCAGTTTGTCTCTTTTTTTTAATGTATGTTTTCACTTAAGTATGTTGCTAGATAAGTTTGTGATAATTTTTTTGTATAATTTTAACTATCATGTGTGAATTGAGACAAATAAAACTCTTTATTATTATTATTATTATTAAATATAACGAGTCTCTATCTCAAACATAAACAGTGAACAATTTCGCACAATCCAACGTAGACCTGGAGGAGGAGGACACGGCACTCAACTCAACTCAATAAACTCTACAAGAAAATGCAAAATGCAAAAATATCGAATTTAATCAAACCACCGACTGGAAGCACGATAAATTGACATTTGAGACCATTTTGTTTTGATTTGAATATCCCGTCCGGAGTGGCCGTCAATAAAATTTCTACTTCTACTAATTTCAAAACAATAATAGCAAAAATATATGACGGCACCTGCACCGTTGTAGGTGCGCTGGCGTCGGTCTGGTTAGACAGAATTCTTGTAAACGACACGTGTACCGCACACCTGCGGCATTGTACCTGCGTTGCCACCCGTCCTGCTTGTATAAAACGGACGGGGCGGCCGTCGTTAAGACACGTCTTGGCTCTGACGTGGAACGGTGCGCTTGTCGTATTCCGTTACTAGTTTATCCTCGACTCGTTGGATAATTAATTCGTGTAAACGAATTAATTATTATTCCCAACTACAAAATCAGTCACTGTACTATACTCAATTATACTTCCTACATATATATTTTTAAAATGTTTATCGTGTAATATTATTTACTAAAATATTGAGCAAAATAATTATTCAATAAAAACTATATTTTTACAAAGCTCACGGGGTTATTATTTTCTTCTATAGTTTCATAAAATTCTACCAAAAGAGAATTAAATTCGCAAATTGTTAGGCAGATTATTATACCAATTTTAGGAGTACGATCAGTACAACTGCAGTTCGCACGATCATATATGTTTCAAATTTGGTACCATAATGTCTCGCCGGTGGTGCTCTCTGTATTACTGAGATAGAAGTATTAAATTATAATGCTACTAAGTTAAAAAACTACAAAATTGTATTGGTTTTCTAACATTTAACTTTCAACACAAATTAGTACGAATATTTTTCTGCAATATCTTAACTTTTTGTACTAAGATTGAATACCCTGTTCGTAATAAAGGAGATAGATGTTTAAGAATCACAGCATCCAATTACCATCAGATGGACTGTCTGCTCGTTTGTCACACCCTAGAAAAGAAATATTAATCTTGCACTGTAAGTTTTTTTGTTTGTGAAAGACAAGACGTGTCCGGTGAAAGAACGCACACATCGCGGTGACTCTACCCGCCACAGCTTCAGCTGCGAGTCCGTGGACGCGGAGACCAGCGTCCTCGAATCCAGGAACTTGACGTACGAGACCGCCTTCCTGTGGTCTCGGAAGACGGCGTGTGGGACCCGGGGGGCCCGTAGGTCGTAGTAGTGCACGCAGTGATCCGCCAAGGCCAAGTGACACGAGGACTTCGGGTTGAAGCGAACACAGCACACGTTGAACTTGGCCTCGAGTGTGGCAACGGATCACTCTGCATTAAGGGCCCACAGCTTGACCCTCGCGTCGTCAGAACCAGATGCCAGAATAGAATAGAATAGAATAGAATAGAATAGAATAGAATACTTTTTTATTCAATATACATTACATGTGTAATTCTTATTGAAAGTCATTTTTTACTTTACCACTGGTTCGAAAAAAAACCCTCTGTCCTGGGAAGAACCAGCAAGAAACCCAGCGGGACTTTTTTTTTAAAATAAATTTTACAATATAAATGATTACAAACTATTTAGAAAATTTATTTTAGAAACTGCTTGGAAGCGACCACCTCATTCCCAGGGATTATTATCAACCATGTATTCATTTATACTATAATAACCCTTTTTATACAGTTTCAGCTTAATAAAACATTTAAACTTGGTAATAGAGAGAACCTGTACACTTTCCGGGACCTTGTTGTAATAGCGTATACATTGCCCCAAGAATGAATAACTGACTCTGTGGAGTCGAGAAACTGGCATCACTAGCTTGTGTTTGTTCCTAGTGTTTACAGAATGTATATCACTTTTTTTACTAAAACTATCTTTGTTTTTGTGAACATACATTAAATTTTCGTAAATATACTGAGAGGCCAAAGTTAATATATTAATTTCTTTAAATTTATCTCTAAGAGACTCTCTCGGTATTAGATTGTAAATAGCTCTAATGGTCCTCTTCTGTAAAACAAAAATAGTTTCTGAATCAGCCGCATTTCCCCATAGCAAAATCCCATAAGACATTATGCTATGGAAATAACTAAAATAAACTAATCTAGCTGTCTCGACACTAGTGAGACCTCTAATCTTTTTTACAGCATAGGCTGCAGAACTTAGTCTGCTTGCTAATTTGGATATATGGGGGCCCCACTGGAGCTTTGCGTCAAGAGTGATGCCAAGAAAAACAGTGGATACAACAGGGCTCAATTCCTCCCCATTTAAAAACACATTGGTATTCAGATTATTAACATTCGTTGTTGTAAATTTAACACAATTAGTTTTATTTCCGTTCAAATGCAGATTATTAACGTTAAACCAATGCACTAATTTTGATATAGCATTATTCACTTCGTCACATTTAAATGATTGACGTTTAAGTTTAAAAATCAAGGAAGTATCATCAGCAAATAATACTATATCATGACTATCCCCTACAAGGTGAGGTAAGTCATTAATATACACCAGAAACAGGAATGGGCCGAGAATCGAGCCCTGAGGAACACCCATTAGTACAGGTGACCCGGAAGAACTTTTACCATTGACAATAACCTTCTGTTTTCTATTACTTAAATATGAAATAATAAGTTTAAGCGCTGTGTTCTTGACACCATAGTACTGTAGCTTCCTGATTAATGTCTCATGGTGAACACAGTCGAAGGCCTTGGAAAGGTCACAAAATATACCCAAAGCATCCTCTGAATTCTCCCATGCACATAAAATATGTTTAATAAGCTCAACTCCAGCGTCAGTTGTCGAGCGACCCCTTGTAAAACCGAATTGATTTTTATGTAGCAATTTATTAATATTAAAGAAACTTAACATCTGATCTAAAATATTTTTTTTTAAAAATTTTACTTAATGTTGGTAGTACAGAAATTGGTCTAAAATTGGCGGGGTCTAATGTACTACCAGATTTAAATATAGGTATGACTTTACTATGTTTCATTAAATCAGGAAACACACCAGATTCGACGCTTATATTAAATATAGTGGCTAGATAAGGTGCTAATATATCTATTATAGATAAAATAACTTTAACGGAAATCCCCCATAAGTCTGCCGTTTTCTTAACATCAATAGTTTTAAAATATTTAATGATATCTTTTGGCAGTACTCTATGGAATTTAAAAGTATTTGAACAAGCCTTTACATTTTGTTTGAGCAATGATTCGGCGACAGTAGGAGAAGAATTTAATGAGTTTGTTGTCAAAACAGGAACATCAGTAAAATGTTTCTCAAAAGCCATAGCAACTTCTTGATCAGATCGCCTTAAATTATTGTTAATATTCAATTGAAAATCCGAATTTCGCGGTTTGACCTTACCCGTTTCAGTATTTATTATTCTTCAGGTCATTTTAATTTTGTCGGATGCAGTTTTAATTTTGCAGCAGTAGACGCACGTCCACTCGGTTGAAGTGAACCGACCAGCATCTCTTGTCGTGCTCCTGTAACATCACAGTTATATTGTAAATCGAATCATAACAGAAGACCATAGCGTGGTTAGTAAAGTTTTGTATGTGGTGAAGTCACGCTGCAGCTATATTATGGTTGTAGCACAAATGGATT